CGGTGGTGGCGGCAATTCCATCATTGGACTGTCGCAAACGGAGAGTGCAATGCATGGTGAGGGTGGTGGTGAACCGGGATCGATGGGAAAGGCATACGGAAATGGCGGACAATCGCCGTTCGTGGGCGATAGTGTGAATGTGATGCCGCATGGCGTTGTTGGCAATGGTGGCAGCAGCGTATTACCGAAGTGCGGGGAATCATGTTCGGATTCATCGAGGCCCTCATCTTCTGAAGTAGTCACTGAGCTGCCGATGGTGTGGCGACGCATTTGACGTGGCAGACGGGCACGTGACTCCTCAATGCTGCTGCCGGTGCTGAGTCCGCCCAGTCGGATGTCCATTTCCAAAGCTGCATCATCATATTCATACGAGCCACCACCTATTTCGTTGCCATCGCCCGTGGCTGCGTCATCCTCATCCTCATCCTCTTCCTCACCTTCTTCCACCACATCATCGTCGGCTGGGACGCTCGCACCATCGTTGTCGGTGTCATCGTCAGAACTGCTATAGCCGTAAGTGAGTGAACTCGACTCCCGCCGATCAGTGGCCATATAGCGCTGCTCCGCCTGCTGCTGTTTCAAGTATTCCTCCAGATACAAGCAGTGTATGCAAGGCGGTGGTGTCTTCGTGGACGAGCTACGACGCGCTTTGCCACGCCGCGGCACTTCCAGGAAAGTGCCCGAATCGTCGCTGCCCGCTGAAGCCGCCGCCGAGTCGAATGAATGTGAGCGTTGTGTGTGCGTGGCCTGCGGCACCTGCAGCAGGCCGGTGTCCAGAGAACGTTCATCTGCCGATGACGATGATTGCTGCTTAAGTAGGTGGGACGAGACTCGCTGCGCCTCTAATTGCATTTCGTCGAACGAGGCGGAACGCACCTGCTGGCGGGCAAAAGGCGCAGATAATTACCAAGAACGTAGCGAATGGCGAGAGGGGGGAAAAAGAGTGAAGAGAAGAAATGTTGAGGTTATTAAATTTGCACGCATTGACGGCCGTGGTGCTGCTGTGGCACGTAATTTGCGATATAATTTACGACGAAATTGCATGCAAACAGTACAACAAAAGTAGTGAAAAACTTACACTCAGGTGCATGTTTCGGGTAAAATAGAACAAAAAAATAAAATAAAAAAATCAAAACAGAAAAGCATTTTAAATACATTTTAAAATTTAGAACGGAAATGCTGCAAAAATTATACATTGCGGATAGCAGCGTCTGGGCATGCAATTAAATAGTCGCTGGTTGTGGCTGTGGGCTATGCTGCTGATACAGTGTTGTGTGTACATAGATAAAATCGAAAGGTGATATGTGAAAGTAAGTAATAAACGTAAATAGGCAACATGCAACGCTGGCAAGTGGAACGGATGTGGCCGAGGTTTGTTGGCCGCAATTACATGTTGGATAATTTATGCAGGAAGCGGGCGAACTCTATGGGCTAAGGCTCTGAATTGAACGCAAACAGCAAAAGCACAAACATTTATGGTCTTTTTCATAAAAAATAAAATAGATTTAAAAAGCTTTATAAAGTGGCATTTTCTTAAAAATTTGTATTTATAAAGCAGCTAAGGTCTGGTTTAGTTTTTGAGAACTATATAAATATCGAGCTTTAAATTAATGTATGAAATTATATAGTTTTGGTCATTTAAAAAGTATACATAATTTTTGGTTATTTAGGAAGTGGACATAAAATTTAAATAATTTAAAAACTGGAAAGCACATTTCTTCATTTAAAAACTGGACATATGTACATATATTGTTGATTCTTAAAAGTTTGGACAAAAATTTGTGGTCTTTAAAAGCTAGACATAATTTTTGCTAATTACGGACCTTACATAAAACGCCGAAAATTTAAAAAACTGGGAATGCTTCTCTATTAAAATTCTGAACATTTTTTTTTTGGTAATTTAAAAAGCAGCCGGGCTTATGAATCGGAAAAAAAACTATAAATCTGCACCTAGTTTTTGTGATAATATGGTAGAAGACAATTTAGATAATTTTTAAGCTCGACATAATTTTCCTTCATTTATTAACTTTCGCTTATTTTAAATATATGCATACTTTATTAGTAAAAGCAGGACGCAAGCTTTTGATAATTTAATGACTAAGCTTTGGGTAATTTTAAAATTGGACATAATTTGTTGCCATTTAAAAACTGGACATAATTTTTAGTAATTAAGAAACAGGCATTAAAATGCAGAAATGCAGAAAAGCAAAAACAAAAAACCAAAAAAATTTTGCTGGCTTGGACATACAAAGTATAAATATATATACTATAAGTATACATTTTTGAATAATTAATAAACTGGTCATACCTTTTTGGTAATTTAAAAAGTTTAGCCACTTAATTTCTTTGCATAGAAGTTTCGATCGTTTAAAAGTTGAGCATAAATTTGTGGCCGTTTACAAACTGGGCAAACATTTTAAGTATATTTAAACGTTTTGCCAAAAATTTGTGAACAGTTTTTAAATTACTAAAACTTAATGTCCGGCTATTTTTCATAAGTTTATAATTATCAAAAAAATATTTCCAATTTTTAAATTATTAGAAAATATACCTATGCTGTATTAAAGCTTATGGTTGGCACACATCAACATACATATTTAAGCTC